TTTTTTCATGCTTCATCTCTGCGTCATCTGTTGACCTCCACACTGTTTTCTCTAGTCTTCAGCGGACGCTGTATATAAGGCGCAGTACGGTGACTGTTAAACGTAAGCAAAACGTATTCTAACCAACGCACCCTACTGAGCTGATTTCGGTGCGATTACTAGTTCGCGCTCGATGTAGTCCCAAAAGCTCACTGCCTTCCACCTGATCCAGAATACGTAGGCATCGGTTGTGGAAAACCTCAAGGTGATGGGTGTCTTTCATCTAGTCTCGCAGCATCACTTGGCAATTTGAAGGTGGCAGACGGCTAGGTCGTCGCCCGGCTTACTACTACGCCTGATCTGTTGAAACCTTACGTGGTTCTCCACTCCAAGTTTCCAGGTTATGGCTGCCGGTTTCATTCTCATAACATATGACAATACAAAATCACACACGCTCTAATGCTCGCTCTACGCAATCGCAAACACGCACTCATCACCCTCAACAACGTTCGCGGACTCAACCGCACCATCGATTCTGTACACCAATATCTCCATTCTTATTCTCCTTTCGCCCCTTTTTTGACCGAGACACATATCTCTCACTTGTCAGACACCACCCACCTTCAAGTCCCCAACTATACTTCCCAGTGATCTTTTCTACCCCAAGTTGGTATCTGCACCTTTCTCCAGCAATCAGTCGCCGGCTTGTCAACAGCCCGACCGTACTAGTTGACCTCCTCACACGTGTCTTTGATCGAGCCAGCGGGCGTGATCATACCCTCGATCTAATTGTCACTTCAGTCCTTTCTCGCTCATATACTTGTACCCTGCCTCCTCTTGGATCACTGTGCTATTTCTTGCTCTATCAAAAGGTCAATAGCGGACTGTTCGTCCCAGGTCAAAACAGGTTTGTCAAACAGGTCATACCAAACGAATCTGCTGGCGTTTCTAGACGAGGTCATATGTCGTCTATGAGGGCCAGCTAGCGGAGGTATGTTAGCTAGAATTTCAAAAACCATTGGATTTGGTCAGTCATCACCCGGTGGACTGAAAGATGCAGGTGCTGGGAAAAGTTGGGCAAGTGATGAGATGGACAATGGGATTCCTCGCACCATAGAGAACAAGCATACACACATTCGGACACGATTCACATCTAGCATCTACGTGCATATCAAAATCCTGATTAGGGTGTCCAAACCATGTCGTCCTGGAGCAACCTGTCGTTCTCGCGTCAAGTAAGCTCCTGCTGTGGCTCTGTCATGGTATGAGCGGAGACCCCATCATACCCTTCACTACTTCTCTTTTCTCNTCTCTTCCATCCGACAGCTGGAACAACGACTGCGTGAACTGCGATTGTGTGAAAAGTCCATACGTAACGGTTTGCGCCATTAGAATACTACGAAACATGCGGCCCCAAGTACTTCACGAGCTAGGTTTGTACAGTGCTTACCAGCAGATCAGTTCAGTTTTGCCAACCATTAACCGTACACATTCGTGAGTCGGTTTGGTTGCTGTCTTTTGACTGCCCATTTGGATGAACAGGAGAGAGGAAGAAAAGAGAAAATGGGGAATTTCTGAGGGATAAGTTTGAAAAGAAAGTAAGAAGATGCACGAACGCCATTGTTTACGACACTCAGCCATACCACTCAGTGTCTCTAACCATCGGGTACGATCATCCCCAGGGCCCCAGCCAGGGAGTCTAACGGGACCAATGTGACTGAGTCTCCTCGTTAGGCTTTTCATACCCTCATGCCAGTTTTTAGTTTAGCCACTCTTACAATTTACCCGTCACCCGTAGAACATGCACCTTATGAATATTTGCACTGTTCGGAAGATCTTCTCCAACCTCAAGGAGACGAAGAAACATTTTTGTTGACAAAGAATGTTTCTTTGGTCAGAGAACTTCGTTTTCAGAAACAAACCACTTGGTAAATGGACCATACGATGAAGTTCACCAAGGTAAGACTCAGAAGGGAACACAGAGTAGTGATCTAATGGTCCCTTTAGTCGAACATCGTCCGAAAGATGCCATAAGCAGTGGACATTGTACACTAACTCCTCTTCACCGAAATTCCCACGAATTGGTTTAATGATCTACCGATCATGTCTTCCGCGTAATGCCAGCATTGTATTGGGTGGCACAATAAGTAGAGAAATTTCGGAAGTTTTCGTATTTGCCGTCATCCATTATTCTTTTCATAACCACTGGCCCAATGTACAATAAAAACTGCCTAAATTCGGACGCTTACCATCGTTCGAAATCCTCAAAGGATCGGCATTTTCGTTGGGAGTCACTTGGCAAATTACACTGTATACCGTTTAAACGGTCTGAGGCCTGCCTCAGTTGACTAGTACTCAAACGAACTTTGCATCCTGTGGATCCGCTACGTCATAGCGTGCATATAATCCAACAGGAAATCGTGAACCATGTCCACCGGTTAATACTCCAACGGTGAGCTTCCTGTGATGATCAGGATCACGTCTACTTCGGAAATCAGAGTCCGTAGGTTTGGGGTATTCATTGAGAGGTAGAACGAGTTTCTAACCGTTGTGGAAACCTCTGGCAGTGCAGCGCTCACATGAGCTGTATCCGCTATGGCTTTTTACTTGTTTAAGCATTGCGCGGGCCGGAGCGTCACAAATAATGCACTGTAGACTCAAACGAATTGTTTTGTCCTTTGAGGAGAGTCGCACACCTTTCGCGAGAGCTACTTTTAAATCATTGATCAGTAGTCCGAGATACTCCTCAATGCTTTTGAGTTTCGAATATCCACAGTAAACCCCGATGACGAAAACTTGCGAAAAGGGTTCACAGATTCGACCCAAAATCGGCCACGGTTGCAAACGAGAGCCAGTCTACGATAGTGAATATGAGTTTGACTGGCCGAAGCCGACGACGAGCAAAGCAGTTGATGTTCGTACTGTGCAATATCCAGAGGCACGGAAACCTCTTTCGGCGACCAAGGAGAATGTTCCACCCATTACGTAAAGTTAAGTCTCTTGTAACCTTATATATCAACATTTAGTTCCCCGATGACAAGCCCGATAAACTATCCTCTCGCTCCAACAGCAGCGAGCTCGTTTATCGGCAATGTTGACTTAGAGCAGTCAACGAGTTATCAATTGAGCCAAAACCAGCGCCCTCATTCCGCTGAAGGATAAATCATCACTTTGCATTTCAATTTGCATTCCATTTTCGCTTAATTTTTCACAGCTCATCGCAACAGGTGCCACTTGCGCGTTTGCCCGAACCTCCTGTACTCCCTATAGCTGTGGATTCACCAGGAACTGGTAAGCATTCTCCTGTTGCCCAACTCAACTTGATCAAAAACAGTGGAACATTTACTGTATGTTCGTCTGTCAGTGGATTCCACTCAAAGACAGTTAAATGAACTGAACTCACAAATGAAGGCAGTTCTGAATCAGAAATGTCCACCAGTAGCCATTAAGTTACCGTTGGCTACCATGGAGGACTTCGATGCCCTTTCCCAAGAGCTTCAAAACACTGAAGTCTTTAATCAATTCGTGGGTTACTGACCTTTATATCATTTACGGTTTAACTTTAAAGGTTGAATACCTTGTATCCAGTGGGGGAGACTCGATGGCTGAGAGCATTCGCATTTTGGTGCGAAGAGTTATCAGCCGATGTTTAGGATCACAGTTCAGTTTTCAGTGGATGCATGAGTGCCACTGTTTACAACACCCAGCCATATCGCTCAGTGTCTCTGACCATCCGCTACGATCATCCCGAGGTCCCCAGCCAGGGAGCCTAACAGGACCTATGTGACCCAGTTT